CTCTCTTCTTCCTTTCTCTTTCTCTTTTCTTTCCCCTCTCCTTCCTCTTCTCTCCCCCCTTCCCATTTCTCTCCCTTCCCCTTCTCCCTTCTCTTTCTCCCTCTCTTCCCTCTCTCCCTCCATTTCTTTTCTGGTGCTGCTCTGTCTAAGCGGTTTCCTTCTTGAGGTCTCATCCACCTCTCCCAGTGGTTTCTGTCAGAATCCCACCCTCATCTTGTGCATTGATGGGGGCTGCGAGTAACCCCCTGACCTGGGAGGGGCCCAGAGGTGACCATCACCCTCCCTTCCCCACAGAGCCCTCTCCTTGACATCTGGTGGCGAGGATGTGGCCAGCTGGACCTCCTGAGTGTGCCCTTCGCCTCCCTGAAGGAGCAGGTGGACAGTGAGGTAGGACTGGGGGACTCCTAAGGGGAGCGTGAGGCATGGCCGGTGGACTCCCCCTGACCCTAGGTCCTGTTTGCACAGCGGCGGCTTGAGGAGGCCCAGCGGCTCTCAGACACCCTACGCAGGTGACTCAGGGGGCCCTTTCACCCCAGGACCCTCGCTGGCTTCTGGACCCACCCCCAGTTTACATGCCCTGGGGTGTGGGCTCCGTGTGGCCCCTGCGAGGGGTCAGGGCCTGGTACTCAGGACTCTGTGCTCTCTAGCCTCGGGCCAGAGGAGGAGGCGGCTCAGCTGGTGGAGTCACCTATGGAGGAGCCGGCTGATAGCCAGGACACCTTCCAGTACTGCCTCTGGGTGGACAAGTTTGCGCCCCAGCGCTACACAGAGCTACTCAGTGATGATGTGAGGTTTTGCCTTGCTCAGTTGTGACTGAGCTTCCCCTGTTATCACAGGGAAGACCCTGGGGCCCAGTGGTGCTTGCGTCACCAGCCATGGCTTTGGGGTGGGCTGGGGCTCTGGTCTGCCCTGTCGTTTAGGTGAGGGAACTGAGTCAGTTCAGGGCTGCCTGTTGTTGGCTCCCTGGAGCTGGCTATAAACTGGGCTGGGGTCCAGGGTGTTGCTTGCCCCAAGCCTCTGTCCCCTTTCCCACTTGCATAGCAGCCGATGCCAGGATACCCATGGGGAGGGCAGGGGCTGTGGGAATGGAGGCCTGGGTGTGAGCCTCACTCTGTCACTCACTGGTAGGGTGACTGGGGCTACCCGTTGTCCCAAGGTGCGGTGTTCCTATGCCACAGGGCTCAGGGTAGCAGGGGGATGTAGAGGCAGGTGGGTCCTTGGTGCCATGTGGCCTGTGGCGCCCTCAAGCGGGGTCTCCTGCAGTTCACCAACCGCTGCCTCCTCAAGTGGCTGAAGCTGTGGGACCTGGTGGTGTTTGGCTATGAGAGGCCCAACCGGAAGCCCAGGCCCAGGGTGGAACTGGCCCAGGTCAGCAAGGAGGCCACTGCCCCAGGCAAGTGGAAGAGCCATGAGCAGGTCCTGGAGGAGATGCTGGCGGCTGAGCTGGATGCCAGCCAGCGACCCCGGCAGAAGGTGAGCCCGTCCACCATGCCACACCCCCCACCAGGCTGATGTGCTGGCCTCTGGGTGGCTGGTGCTGTGTTGTCCAGGGGCTACGGGCTTGATGACATCAGAGTCTTGGTGTGAAGTGCCGTTGACACAAGTTAGGGCTTGACTCTGTTCTCACAATGTATGGGATAAAGTCAACACCCCTGGGGTCTCTGTGATAGGGTGAACCATGGGTAGTTTTAGCAGTCACGTGGGAACCAGCTATTTTTGTCAGTCCTCATAAAACAACATCTTCTTTCTTTTTTTTTTTTTTTTTTTTGAGTTGGAGTCTCACTCTGTCACCCAGACTGGGGTGCAGTGGCATGCTCACAGCCACCACAGCCTTGACTTACTGGGCTTAGGTGATCCTTCTGCCTCAGCCTTCCAAGTAGCTGGAACTACAGACGCACACTACCATACCTGGCTAACTTTTTGATTTATTGTAGAGATGAGGTCTTGCCAAGTTGCCCAGGCAGGTCTTGAACCCACGGGCTCAGGCAATCCACTCACCTCAGCCTCCCAAAGCGTGGGATTACAGGCTGAGCCACCGAGCCCGGCTTAAAACAGCATCTTCTGAATGCACTGAGTGGCGTTTCCCTTTGGTGGCTGGAGCAGGTGGGGGCATTGGGCAGCCCTCGCCCCCAGTCCCTGGCGTGGACCGAGAGCACCCAGGGGATCAGTGTGTCTACTTGGGATGCAGGTGGCGCTGCTGTGTGGGCCCCCAGGGCTGGGCAAGACCACACTGGCGCATGTGGTGGCGAGGCACGCAGGATACTCCGTGGTGGAGATGAACGCCAGGTGAGCTGCGTGGAAGGTGTCTGGGGTCTTCGTCTGTCCTGTTGTGTCTACCCCCTTAGAATCCAGGCATGGTTGTTCTTGTCTCGAGTATGGGGCCGGGGTCCTGGGCATGTGGGCTGGTGGGGCGCGTCCTCCCTCAAGGCTCGCTGGGACTGGCAGCAGCCACATCGCAGTTGCCTTGCAGGTAGCCTCACAGTGTAAGCAGCAGCTCTGGCCTCAAAGTTGGCCACCCGGTATGCTGGCTCTGCCCAAACTGAGGCCACGGCTGCCTGACCACCCCCAATCTCATTGTTCCAGTGATGACCGCAGCCCCGAGGTCTTCCGCATGCGCATCGAGGCGGCCACACAGATGGAGTCCGTGCTGGGCGCCAGTGGGAAGCCCAACTGCCTGGTCATCGACGAGATCGATGGTGCCCCCATGGTGGGCCTTCCTGGTGGCCTGGGTGGGCAGGCGGGTGGGCAAGCATCAGAGTCCCTCTCACCCCGACCCTCTGCGCTTCTCCAAAGGCTGCCATCAATGTCCTCTTGAGCATCCTGAACTGCAGGGGCACGCAGGAGGTGGAGCCGAGGAGCACAGCCACACCTTTGGGTGGGGGTCGGCGTCGTCGGACTGAGGGGGGCCTCCTAACCAGGCCCATCATCTGCATCTGCAATGACCAGTGAGTGGAGTGGGGGGCTGGTGGGGGGTGTGTACGCTGAGGCCCATAGTGAGGCACTGCCACCCTCAGGTTTGCACCGTCCCTGCGGCAGCTGAAGCAGCAGGCCTTTGTACTCCACGTCCCGCCCACTGTACCCTCGCGGCTGGTGCAGCGACTCCAGGAGGTTGGTAGGGCCGTGGTCTGCGACTCAGGCTGGGATGTAGCTCGTCCTGGCCCATTTTCCCCACTTCTCCTCCTCTCCTGTCAAGCTCCGCACCTCCAGCCAGCCTGAACATGTGGCAGTCATATGGCGGGACCCACTTGGCTGCTGGCTGTGGAGGGTCTTGGGAAGGCCGAGGCCATGGAGGCCTCTGGTGGGGGCTGCTGTCCACCTGTGTCCAGGGAGGGGTCATGGCCACAGTGTGGAGCTTAGAGGGGCTGTACCCTGAGAATGCACAGGGACTCCAGTCGCCCTGCCTGTAGATATCACTGCGTCAGGGCCTGCGGGCCGACCCGGGTGCACTGGCAGCCCTCTGCGAGAAGACGGACAATGACATCCGCGCCTGCATCAACACCCTACAGGTGGGTGGCCAGGAGTGGGGCAGGCGCTTGTCACCCCCAGTGCTCCAAACCTCTGGCTCCTGCACTGGTGGGGCGGGATGGTACCTGTCACTCTAGGGACCGCCCCTGCACCCCCAGTTCCTGCACAGGCAGGGCCGTCGGGAGCTGAGCATGCAGGCCGTGCAGACTACACGCGTAGGCCTCAAGGACCAGCACAGGAGCCTCTTCTCAGTGTGGCAGGAAGTCTTCCAGCTGCCCCGCACCCAGAGGTAGGCACAGGGGACCAGGAGACCAGCACTCCTGGGGAGGCCCAGGCCACAATCCCCGGACTGCCCGGCCTGGCCTCCAGCCTCTTCTCAGCCTCTCTGCCTTACTGTCAGGGCCATGAGCCCCAGGCTGCCTGACCGGCCACCAGCCTCTCCCCGGCCTCCCTGCCCTGCTGTCAGGACCAACCCTGGCATGCCTGGCCTGGCCTTCAGCTTCTTCTCATCCTCCCTACCCTGCTATCAGGGCCATAAACCCTGGCATGCCTGGCCTGGCCTCCAGCTTTTTCTTGGCCTCCCTGCCCTGCTGTCAAGGACTGAGCCTCGGGCTGCCTGCCCAGTCTCCAGTGTCTCCCTGGCCTTCCTCCCCTGCTCTCTGCATCTTCATGTCTTCCATGATTTGGGTGTAGGAAGCTGTCTGGGCACGCTGGTGAGAAGGATACACGATGGTGCTGGGACCTCTGGGGTGCCCAGTCCCCACCCCAGGCTCAGCTCTTCCACGTTTTGCTCCTTGGGCTGTGATCTCAGGGAGCAGTCCTGGGAGGCCTTAGGTGGCAGGGAGTCATCACGTGTCTGCCCTGGCTCTGGCTTGGGGCCCAGGGCCATGCTGGCTGGTCAATGCCCAGGGACAGAGGGAGGAGCCCAGGGCTCCTGGGCCTGTGCGATGTGCTGTTCCCAGCCCACCCCTCAAGGGTCAGTCCAGGTGTGGGGCTCCTCCCAGGGTGTGGGGCTGTACTCGAGGGGTTCCAGGTGGCAAGGGCCCCAGGCAACTCCAGAGTCTTGTTGGCCTACAAGCACCCAGGCTGCCCCGGGAGCAGGACATCACAGGGAGAGCTGGGCAGGCAGTGGCTGGGGTGGGCTGCCTCTCCTGTGTGGCCTGGCCCAGCCTCGGCACCTTCTGCAGGCGCCACTTGGGCCAGGACCCAATGCTGCCTGCCCATGCGTTCCTGTTGGACGATGGAAACATGGGCTCCCTGACCACTGCTGCACAGCGGTTCCACCATGTCCTGCACGTCGCGGCATCCGCAGGCGAGCATGAGAAGGTGGTCCAGGTACCTGCCCTGCCACAAGCCCTGCCTGGGGCTGGCAAGTGTGCCCTTTCCCTGCTGTCCTCCCATGTCAGGGGTGTGAATGGTGGGGGGCAGGTGCTTCAGGGGTGCCAGGGCCAGGAGTGGGGCTGGCAGAGGTGAATGTTAGGAGCCTCCAAGGGGACAGTGTGTCCGAGTGCTGGGAGGGTGGAAGGACTGGGAGGAGGACTGAGCAGGACAGGGTGGGTGTCTGAAGGACGGAGCTGCTCTGGCTGCTGGCTGGGACCAGCAGGGCAGGGTACAGGTCCTGGCTGGAGTTGGCGAGGCTGGATCCTGAACTCGGGCTGACATGGGGTGAGTGGGTGGCAGAAGCTCCCTGCCTGGGGAAGCCCGGCCTAAGCCACCCCAAATCTAAGCAGCTTAGGATTAGCGGCTGGGATCCGTGGCCAATCCAGAAATCTGCAGTTGGAGGGGCCATGTGGCACGGGGGGGGCAGAATGGGCTTGGCTCCCACGTGGAATGCGGATGGGGCTCCACGTGCCGGATCCCAGTGGACAGGGCATCCTTCGGGCCACCTCACAGGGCTGCACCCTTGGTTTCTGAAGGTCTTTGGGTGGGGATGACTCAGGGTGGATTCTCCCTGTGGCCACTTGCCAGTGCTTGCCACCACCCTGAACCAGGGCCTCAAGGGGCAGGGGGTGGAGAAGGGCCTGTTGTGGGGTGGGCAGGCATGAGGTCTCAGGCTCAGGGCTGCTGCCTGCAGGGCCTGTTTGACAACTTTCTGCGTTTGCGCCTGCGCGACTCCAGTCTGGGCACCGTGTGCGTGGCCCTCGACTGGCTGGCCTTCGATGATCTGCTGGCACGGGCTGCCCACTCTGGCCAGAACTTCCAGTTGCTGCGCTACCCGCCCTTCCTGCCTGCTGCCTTCCACGTGCTCTTCGCATCCTGCCATGTGCCTCGGATGGTCTTCCCCAGCAGCCAGCAGGAGGTGTGTGCAGCCCACCCAGTCCAGCGTCTGCCCTGGATGGAAGTCCTGGGTAACCTGGCCTGGTCTCCCCTCCACCCCAGGCCCAGACCCGGATGAACCAGACAAGGAACCTGCTCCAGACACTGGTGGCGGGCATCACGCCAGCCATGCGCAGCCGGACCACACCCCAGGCCCTCCTCCTGGATGCCCTCTGTCTGATGCTTGACATTCTCATGCCCCGACTACGCCCTGTGAGGACTGTGCTGAGGGAGGGAAGGTGCTAGGGGAGGGGGCCCTCTGGGGGGGGCCTGCCTGGCTCAGTGCCCCACCCACCCTTCCAGGTGAGCACGCAGCTATACAGTGCTCGTGAGAAGCAGCAGCTGGCCAGCCTGGTGGGTACGATGCTCGCCTACAGCCTCACCTACCACCAGGAACGTACAGCTGATGGGCAATATGTCTACAGGCTAGAGCCGTGAGTCCCTGGCGCTGGGTGGGCCTGGGGTTGTGTGCCAGGCCAGGAGTCCTGGATCTTGGTCTCCCCAGTGTCCAGGGGTCAGTTCCAGTCAGCCTTGTTCAAATGTGACTAGGTGTCCCCACCAGCCCCCCAGGCTGGGCACAGCCCTGGGACCTGAGTGTCACTGCTTAGTCTCTCCCAACCTCAGTGTCACCAGGAGCAGCCCCAGAGGTCTGTAACAGGGTGGCCTCGCCATTAACTAGAACTTCCCAGGGCTATGTTTCCCATAAGAAACAGTCCCTGGGGCAGTGGGGGGTGGGTGTGACCTGAGGCCCGGGGGTCCTGCTGCCCCAGCGAGGTACCGGTGTCCAGCACCCTGATTTCTAGAAGCCCCGGGCAACTTACAGTTGGGGAACTGAGGCTTGAGGCAGTTGACCCCTGGTGGCCACAGGGCTAGAGTATGGCAGCATTAGGCCTCACCCTCACACCCCTGCTCCTGTGTTGTGGCACTTGGGGTGTGTGTGCCAGGCAGATCTCTGGCCCAGGCCCTGGCCCTGCTGACCGGTGCCCTGGTGTCCTGCCTCACCTACCTTGATCAGGAATGTGGAGGAGCTCTGCCGTTTCCCAGAGCTGCCCACCCGCAAACCCCTCACCTACCAGGCCAAGCAACTCATCGCCCATGAGATAGAGGTGGAGAAGATGAGGCGGGCAGAGGTTTCAGCCCGGGCTGGGGGCAGCTTCCAGGTGAGCCCTTCTCCCAGGTGAGCCCTTCCCCAGGTTAGCCCACTCCAGGTGAGCCCTTCCCCAGATTAGTCCACTGCAGGTGAGCCCTTCCCTCAGGTGAGCCCTTCCCCCAGATTAACCCACTCCAGGTGAGCCTTTCCCTAGGTTAGCCCATGCTGGGTGATCCCTTCCCACAGGTAAACCCTGTCCCCAGGTTAGCCCACTCCAGGTGAGCCCTGCCCCCAGGTTAGCCCACTCCAGGTGAGCCCTTCCCCAGGGTTAGCCCACTCCAGGTGAACCTTTCCTCAGGTGAACCCAGCCTGGATGTACAGCAGAGTGGGGCATGGGTGGGCGGGGCCCTAGGAGTGGGCCTATTCCCCTATGGCCCTGCCCAGGCAGCCCTGCCTGCACCCCTTCCCCTGCAGGTGGGGTTCGAGGGTCTGCTGGGGGGCACTGGGGAGAAAGGGGTATGCCAACCTGCCCCACGCAACCACGAGCAGCGGCTGGAGCACCTCCTGAGGAGAGTGGCCAAGGAGGAGCAGGTGCAGGAGTGGGAGCCAAGCGGCAGGGGGAGGGACCAGCTCTGCTGTGGGGTGAGGCTAGGCCACGAGGGGGCTGGGGCTGGACTGGGCTGCTGGCTTGGAGGCAGGAGGTCCTGGGGATGGGCTGGGTCACAGAGGTGAGGCTGGAGGCCAGAGCGGGGCTGGCTGTCTGCCCAGAGTGGTCCTGGAGCTCCCTGCCCTCGACGTGGTGGGGTTCTACCTGGCTCGTGCCTGTCGGCTGGCTCTTCCTCAGGAGGGGCACGCTTGTCCCAGCAGGCTTGGGAACGGCATCCCAGAGATGCTGAGGGCTCTCCCTACGAAAGGCTCTGGTCCCCCCACCAGGGCAGGGTATGTGGGGCTGTCCTCCAAGGCTGATCGCCCCTTTCCCATCAGACCGAGAGGGACTTCTTTGGACGTGTGGTGGTCAGGAGAACGGCAGCCCTGAGTGCAGGTGTGTGTGGAGTGGGGCGGTGGGGTGAAGTGGGGTATGGCCTGGTAGCGACGCTGTGTACCCCCCCTAGAGGACCCAGCCCCGAAGCAGGACGCAGTGGAGTGTGTGGGCATGGCCGGCAGCAGCGCAGTGTGGTTCCGCTTCAACGAGGGCGTCTCCAATGCCGTGCGTCGCAGCGTATTCATCAGGGACCTACTCTAATCCCGGCCTATGGCTGCCAGCGTGGCTTTATCCTTGGTAGAAAATGTACACAGGCGAGCGCCTCGAGGTCTTTATAAATCACTCCTACAGACAGACGAGGCTGTTGCTCACAGGATGGTGCACTTGCCCTTCTCCACCCACGGGTTGTTCTTCATCAGGTCGGGGTTCAGGAAAGGGTCCTTGGAGATCCCCTCCTCAATCCACTTGAGCAGCCTGTGGGCAGGCAGGAAGAGCAGTAGGCATGAGCCCTTGGCAGCACGACGGCCCTGCCCGCCCTGGGCTCAGCCTTGGCTTATGCAAATGCTCAGGCAGACAGGTGGCATGCAAATGGTGGAACTCACTCAGGGATGGTCTTGGATGACATCTCTCGCTTAAAGGCCAGCTGGTGCTTGAGGCTTTCCACCTCCTTTTTCATCTGCGGCACGTCCCACTCCTCCATGGCATCGGCACCCTCGGAAGTAGCCAGCCTGGGGCTGGAGGGTGTGGGAGGAAGTGGCAGAACTGGCCGCCAGAGGTCACTGCTGCTCCCTCCCTGCTGGCCTGAGAGAGCCCCTCACTGCCCAGGGAGGTCCCCTGGGGCAGCGCTGCCCACTGTCCTTCCCTGGGTCTACACCGGTGGAGCTAGGGTGCAGGGCCCAGAGCAAGTCCCTGGGGGCCCCTACATGCCTCCCTCCCCATCAGCGGGGCTTATTAATGACTGAGGAAACTTTCCATCCCCAGTTCTGTCCCTCCACCTTCCCAAGGTCTACTTCTGGATTGAAGGGGGATGGGGCCCTATTCCCCTGCCCTGGAGACAGCAGGACGGGACACACAGCCCGGTGCCCCCCAGTCCCCTGCCCTCCCACTGGGAAGCCCACTTCAATGGGAGCCCAGCAGCCCTGCCTCCTCCCCTGCTTTGCATGGGCAAAGCCCACTCTGAGGAGGTTGATCCTGGGCCCCTGGAGATTTGGCTGCAATTTGCATCTTGGGCAGGGTGGGTTGTGCTGAGGACCTTGGGCCCTTGGGCTGTGGGTGCCTCCCAGTGCCCCATCTTCCGGGAGCTACACACGTCACCCCCTTGATTCCAGCTGTGAGCCAGCTGGCAGCCACAGGTTGAGACCTCGCGAACACCCCTAGTGGGAAACTAGGGGGTGGGTGCCCCGTCTCCCACCCAGCCCACTCTGGGGAGCCCTCTACTGTCCCCATCCCTTTAATTCCAAAGGTTGGAGATGGGACTGGCTTCCTGGACCTTGGGTGGGGAAGGGTGCGTGCAGGGGCCAGTGTGGAGTTTGGGGGGGTGCCCTTCTCCAGCTGTGAGGAGGCTGCTCCCTAGAAAGTCTCCCATCCCTGAGGTGCTGCAGCTGTGCTGGGCCATCTGGGGAGAGGCCAGGACCTGGCCATGGTGGGAGCCTGGTTGGTGACAGAGGCCAGACTGGGAGGGGCTGTGGGGGGGTCAACCAGGAGCAGGGATGTGGGGGGAGAGAGGGGCACACAGGTCCCTTCCCAGAGACTCCTGAGTTCCAATACTTCCATCCCGGTGCAGGCTTTTCCCTGGAGGACCTGCTTCCTGACAGCCATGTGGGTGTAGCACAGCTCAGTGCGGGGTCCCCTAGGCTGCCCTGCTTGCAGCCCTGCTGGCCTTACCTGCTCACAGCTGCCGCTGCCAAGCCACAGCACACTAGCAGGCACTGCAGGGCGCGCGCACA